AGTGACATAGTGGAGGTTACGCCCCTGATAGACTTGCTCTGTAGGCTGAGGATGCTGATTGAAAAACAATGCTGCAAACAGGCAATTGGTAAAAGGAATGACATGAGAAGTGTGACCACTTTATCTGAGACACAGTCTTGCTTAGCAGCCACTGAGGATGGAAGGAGCAGAGAGGGAAAGCAAATAAAATGTAGAGACTAGGTAGAGCACTCACTGCAGGGTTAGCCCTCTTTTGCATCTCTCTTTGGAAATATTCTAGCTGTTCCAAGTCCCTGAAGGGAGTGAAGGGGGAGACAGAGAAATGGTGATTGCTAGGGACACGTATTTCTTCCCTTGTAGCCTGCGATTCAAACATGTATATAAAAGCGTGCCCTGGCGCCTCAGAGAGGCATCTGCGTGAATGCCAGCTCACTGCTCCTGACCGCAATCCTATCCTTCCTTATGTGCTTTGACACCATTTGGTAGGTAACTGGTGCCACTGGCAATGCCTTGCAGTAATTGAGCACTAAGCATGCATGAGTAGCTATGAATGAGGACACGACTAGCTTGGAGACAGCAGTGCTTTGCACATAGATGCTAATGCAGGCATTTTGCATCCTTTAGGAAAATGTCAGGTGCAAAGCCACCATGCTCCAAAAGTAATGAAGGTCATTTTTTTCACTGAAAAGCAACTTTAATATTAACATAACATGTTCCCCACAGTTTCCTTAGGGTCTGATTCTGAAACCGAGTGCTTACTCAGAAGAATAGCTAAGCAGTGACAGAATTGGACTCCAATAACAGAACAGAAGGCACCAATTAAAGAGAACATACTCTTCCTTCCCCAACCCTGCCACACCCTTTTTGAGACTGCAGCTGTTTCTAAGGATCCACACAGCCTGCGTTGAACCACAACACATCAATATCACCTCCCAGTAGGGATTTACTCCTTTGTGACACAAGCCCAGTATGTTGGCTCATCTCTGAACCATTCATAAATAGGGGAAGGTGTAAGCAAGATTTTGCAGGCTTCAGCCTAGAGAACTACCCTTTTAGATCAAGAGGGGGCATGAATATCTTAAAGATACTTGAAGATCTCAATTTGCAGATGCTCCGGCACAAACCTGAGCAAGCTGTTAGAATGGTTGCCCTTGAAACACCGAGGTGGTCCTTTCTCTGGACCCAAAAACCATGAGTTAAAATTGAAGATATTTGCCCATTCCAAAGAGAATAGCTATTTTAAAACGTGGAGGCTCCCTACTCCCCATTTTTTAGTTACTCAGTGTGAATGAATGATAGTCCATTTGGGGAAAGATACAAGTCAGTGGCATTTTATACAGCTCATAAAGGCCAATCTAGCATCACTGTGCATACCTTGGTGTTCAAGCAAAGCAACATTTCCTCCTGTATTCCTTGCTAGATTTTATGGAATCTTTTTGGCTTGTCAACTGTGTCATTTGCAAACCCACTGATCAGAGAAATATATTTATTTACACGCTTACTGTACAGTATTGAGGAATATTCCTTATGTAGCGAAAACTAAGACTCCGCATTAGAAGTAACAACCATGTAGGTAATTAGATATGATTTAATATTTCCCTGCTTTTAGTGACTGGAATGTGCTTGGTTCCTGGGTGGGACAGAAACTGGGGGAACTGGCTAACGGGAACCATAATATTGAGGTGCTCTCACTAGTCTCAAAGAAACCTGAATAACAACGTCAATAGAATAAATAAATAATTGAGTTAAACTGTGCAATGAGATTTGGCCAGCCAGTAGCCAGTGATGGAAAACAGACACATTCATATTTACAAAGGCAGAAAGACATGACAGGTGATAATACAACCGTTGCCGATACTGTGACCAAAACCTGAGAGCACTGTAAGATCCAGCAATTCCTCTGGCTCCCGTGAATGCATGCAGAAGCCTTGTTATACTTATAAGGCTTGTCCCCCACCCCGCTTTTCCATTTTCTTAAATAAATAATCTGTACTGTGCTTCTCAAGCATCCCTGATTTTACTGCTTTCTTGCTCCTGTCCTAGGTCCTTTTGGAACCACAGTGAGCTAACGGCCATTTTCACTATTTTCACGCATCACTAGGGGGACTGGACCAACATTTGAGATCTAGAAGTTCTTTTACTCTATTATGAATTTAGAAATAAAACACAAAAAGGCAATTAACCAGTCTATTACATCCTGGAATGAACGTATCTGAAACATGTATAGTATGTTTATCTTTATATATGCTTTTGGCAGGAGGAACAGTTTATCTCCAATACTCCTTAAAAATATATAATTACCTAAACTAGGGATGGCTCTCAAAATACAAGATGGTGCCAGAGACTTATCTGATTGTTTCCATATTTCTTCTTTCAGTAAAGACAATGACTATCCTGAGAGGCTATTTTTCAATTCTGTAACTCACGCACCAGGCCCATCTCTTCAGACCTTCTTTCACATTAGTATTCCACTACCAAGTTTGCCTCCAAATTCAGGAAGATATAAAAGCAGATGCTACCTTTCTGCATTCACTGGCTTGAAGCATTTAGTGCCACAGAATCTCACAAGTAAAGAGTTTTAGGAATGCTACTACTCCCTTATAAAAGGGACATAAAGTAATTGGTCCTGTTCACAGAGTAATCAGCGGGGCAATTATAGCTTGTGTGCTGGATTCAGTCACTGGCAGGAATTGGATTTTCATTGACTCTCATGAGCATGCTAGGAATTTTTTTTGAAGTAAAGTCTCTGGATTTGCTACTCCAAAATAAAATCAATATTTTTACAAATAAAATAAAAATTAAGGCCTCTTATTAGAGCAGTTGCATTAAAAGAAAACCAGTCACATCAACATTTCACACACTGAAGCATACACTGTTCTGAAGTGTATATCTTTGATTATACCTTTTTAACATTTTGGGGAAGGGGGAGGGATCTGGGAAATAAAGGCAAAATATTTATAGCTGGAAAAAAACAACTAGGAAAAAAACAGAAAATCGAATAGTGAAACCTCCCAAAGATCTGTACTGGATGTCCCCCTTTCAAGGGACAGATGTAAACACCATGGTGGATAAAAAGCAAAGAAAAAGCTACACTAGAAATAGAAACTGTCACTTGCTCCTTTGCTTCTTGTATGGAATTTAAATTCATTTAATTCAGATTGATGCTTCACAAAATAAGGTTGGGCCCTTGTAAGTTTGAATCACTGGATTTTCAAGGAAGCCTAAACTCTCATCTCCTGGATGGCTAACTAATTACAGAAGAAGAATATTTACTTATTTGGGCATAAAACAAAAACTTGTTCTGCATCCCAGGAGGCTGGGGAAAGTTAATTAACAGCTGAGTATGGTAAACTAATAAACACTGCCTCAGTCAAGTCCCAAAGAAACTGAGCTGGACAAATAATGAGCCAGCCAGTTGGCAATATTAATGAAAGTAACAACCCAACCCAAAAGTTCTGACTAAAATCCAAAGCCAAACAACATTTTAATTCCTAATCAGAAAAGGTCTGAGCACCCTTGACTCATACTAACTACAGATGAGGATGCTTAAACCTCTCAAGAATGCTCAGCTCTTTGCATTACCAGAAACTAAATGTGAAGTCATCTTGATTGACATTTGAGGGTTTATTATTATTTTTACAGAGGCATGCTCCTGTAATTCTGATTTTTACATGTAGCCTTAACACTAAAATCCAGTGGCAAATATTCCATACAATATATTTTGCAGCATGAAAACTAATCAGGTCTGTTCTCTTCACATAATACAAATTGTTTAATTAAACTATTTTACTTCTTTACAAATAATTTTAGTAGCCAGTACAATCGTCAATCAGTTCCAGCAATTATTCTCCCTTTGACATACACATACTTGCATGAAGGGGAGGTTGGTACATGTTTGAGGGGAGAGTTGAAGGCTGACCCTGTTTATGGTCTAGAGCAGTGTTTCTCAACCAGTGGTAGGAATACCCTTTGGGGTACTTGAGAGAAGTCCGGGGGGGTACGTCAACACAATTGAAATTTGGAGAAAACTGATTTTTTTTAAAGTTTTACAGTTTTATTATTTTTTTACTTTTTACACCCACACAGCTATGATTAAGTTGTTTACACAAATGTGTTGCAATGGTAGAAAAAAAAATTGTGTGTCTGAAAACTGTAGGTCCTGGGGGTATTTAACTTTTTTTTAAAGGGGTATTTTATAAAAAAAGGTTGAGAAACACTGGTCTAGAGTACAGCTGCTCCCCGAGTTATGACCACCTCCACTTACAACCATCCGCACTTACACCCAAAGCAGTCGTAAATGCGGATCTGAGTTATGAACGGCAATCCGTGCTTAAGAACAGTGCGGTCACCATGTAACTTTATGGGATCCGAGTTACGAACACTTCGAGTTACGGACCAAGTGTTGGTCCATAACTTGTTCGTAACTCGGGGAGCGGCTGTATTTATGTATTCAATTCTGCATTTACCTTTCCCTCCCTTCACCTAGCACTATACAAAACCCCTTGTTTAAATAAATACTTTTCCTCCACAGTCTTTTGCTGCGTTGGCAGCCATACTCATGTAAAACTAAATCATTCAAACTCTTACTTTCTTGAGTAGCTGCTAACATTTTCAATAGGACTATTCACATGACTAAGGGACACTCACCCGAGTAATAATTTAGAGGACTGGGCTGTCTGATTGATTGGGAGTTTTACAGATGCCTTTTCCAGCAGGTACAGCTTGGCTATGGGGATGGACAAACTCAATTCCCAGAATCAGTGGGCTGAATTCTGCCCCTCCAATACTCCTGTGCAAATCCAGTTTAAATAGGGCTGCATTGGCATGGATGGAGCAGATACCACTTTTCATCCTACTATTGGTTCGGGTCTCATGCTATGAACTAGTATTATTCCATGGGGCACCAAGTGCCTCTCTCTGGCAAGGGGGCTGAGCATCCTCAAGTCCCTTCACTGGGAGTGTCCTTCTGTCTCTGCTGGGGAAGCTGCTTGTTGAGCACTCTGGAGGAATGAGCCAGCACCTGGCAAAACCAGTCCATTTTTATTACAGCTTCATATCACACAAACCCTTTCTGAACAAACGTGGTGGCCTTCTTGCTTTTCTGATTACCAGACCCTCACCAAATCCAACTGCCAAGGACCCAAACTCTCACAGCTGAAAGTGTGTAGCTCAACGGGATTCTCTTCCTGCTTGGCGCTTGATTTATTTTAGGTTGGAAAAGCAATTTCACTTTCATTCTTACCATCTAATGGAACCATGAATGGGCCAATATTAGCAAGTGGGTTGTATCCAGCCTAGAGGAAGTTTCTCAGCGCAGGAGGACCCTTCTTCAATTCCAAACCAAACCGAAAAACTCAGAAAAGTGATTGTGAATCTTTAAGAACCAACCAATCCTTTAAAGGTGAATGCATAGGATGGCCACTGGGAGTCTTACTACTGAGTTTCTTTGACCTTCGAAATGGCTGAGACAGCAAGGTGATTTCTGGCCTTGCGGCTCAGTTTTGGACCCCGTTCGATATCAGAAATAAGTTAAGGAATCAGAGAGCAGGAAGAAGACACATGATAGGTTTCTAGTCCTCAAAGAGCTGGAAAGCAGCTGGCCTCCATCATGACTGTGACTATTTGTCCTTATGTCTGCCTGTCCTGCAGCACAAGAATTGAGGTTTTACAGAGTTTTGTTCAGTCCTGCTCTGGAGGTAGCTGGCCGGGGGTAAAGCCAGCCCACAATGCTAGCGGCTGCTGTTCTTAATTGCTTCCTTTGCTGCAATGATTAGAGGAGTCAGGCTGGAGAGAGGCTTGGCTAATTTTAAAAATGGATGCTATTAAAAACAAAAACAGAAAGAAAACATATTTGTTATTTTCCTTTCAAAGCTCACTTTCAAGCAGTTTTTTTGTTGTGCTTGCACCATATTTAGACTCTCATTTTAAAAGGACATGATTCTGCTTAACATGTCAACACATGAAGGACAAATTAATCTCTGGTGCAATTCTAGTGACTTTGGGGAAAAGTTTGACTCAGTCTCATTTTACACTCCAATCTTGTACTCAGAAGAACTGAGGTGCAGGTTCAGAGCAGTTGCCTTTTTTATTAAGGCAAAATTCAGACTACAGAGTAGTAGGTGACAGAGAGCACACATTGGCCTCTCTCCTCTGGGGCCAGACTCTCATCTCATTTACACCTGTGATTCAGCTTTGGTTGACTTAAAAGAATTTTGTCTTTAACTGCAAACATGTAAGTAGATGAGAATCAGCCCTGTTTTATGTCCCCTTTCCCCTGCCCCATTCAAATGCCATTCCCTGGTTCTGAGAAAGAAAAATACTCACATTATATCTACTGCTAGTGTCAAAGGTAGCAAGACTGAAATATAACATAACATGATGACATGAGACTACACACTACCATCTTGTATAGCTAGTAGGGCTCCATATTTGGAGGATACAAACGTCACCTCTTAGGGTATGTCTACACTTGCAGCCTAATTTGAAATAGGACTGCAAATGTAGGCATCTGAAATTGCAAATCAAGCCCGGGATTTAAATATCCCACACTCGATTTGCATCTTCCCAGCCATGCGCCCCTTTCTTTTTTTTTTTTTTTTTTGAAATTTACAAGCCTGGACTAACTGCCCGCGTCTACACACAGCAGTGAAACGGCCATTCAAAATAAAGCCCTATTTTGAACTACCTGTTAAACCTCATTGCAGCTGTGCTGTCATCTCCTCCCACAGCTGTGCCCATTTTACCTGCAAAAGCTCCTTGGCAGACCCTCGTCTGTCTACTTTCTTTTTTTTTTTTTTTTTTGAAATTTACAAGCCTGGACTAACTGCCCGCGTCTACACACAGCAGTGAAACGGCCATTCAAAATAAAGCCCTATTTTGAACTACCTGTTAAACCTCATTGCAGCTGTGCTGTCATCTCCTCCCACAGCTGTGCCCATTTTACCTGCAAAAGCTCCTTGGCAGACCCTCGTCTGTCTACG